GTCAGTGTCCTGGTGAAAGGCAAACCTGAGCTCTGTGAGCTGCATGCCTGCAGGGAACGTGAGCGCTGCCAGCAGGGAAGTTACGCTGCGCCGAGTTTGTCTGCATCTGTGAAAATTTCTATAGCAAGGATTGTGCTTGTTGGGCCGGGAAAGCACGGACGTGGCCAAATCCTGATCTCAATTGCACGTGCACAGCTCCCAAGGCAGCAAGGCTGCATCGTGGCTCAGCACTTGGCCTGATGAGGGCTTGCCTGAGTGCAAATAATGTGCGTGGCAGGCTGGAGAGCGAGCAAACAACTGTTCCCTGTGTCACTTTGCTCTTCTTGCAGCATCTGTTTTGCTTCATCATTTTTTAAAAGAAAACCACAAATATTTTTCACTAGGGAGTTGATAAATAACAGTGCTTACATTTAAAAAAAAAATTTAGTGGGGATAAAAGTAAATCTTCTAGTGTATAAAACCCTTATGCTTTGATTTGGGTATTAATTCACACATTGTCTCTTGTTATGTTGTTCCTAGCTCAGTAAATCCTATGGGGTTCTCTCCCTCAGGAAACCACATGGGGCGATGTCTTAGTGTGATTTATTTTTATTTGTGTGTCTAAGTTTGCACAGAATTATCTTTCACAGCAGCATTTTTTACATGAAGATTTGTATTCCTTGGAAAATTTGGCAAACTGGGGAGTATTTAATAATTTGTCAATGTAACTTTAAATTAAATTTGTTGCAACTTTGTGGATACACATGATGAGTGTGATGTGGTGAATTAAGTAGATATTTTAAAGGGATGTGTTCAAAAGGTTATATTACATTTTTTTCATTTTTAAACAGCTTTCTGAGAGGAAATTGTTCTAGCAACTGGCAGACTACGTGTATGAACACAAGCAGGGCTAGCCTAAAATCTAGTTTTAGTAATTCTATAATGTTTTGTTGTCTTTCTTACCTGCAAAGCATTTAATTTTAAGATTAGATATAATGAGGTCAACAACAAAACAGGGGAAACAACATACACGTGTGAAATGGAAGAGAGAAGTCTGAGCTCTCTGCTATGAATAATTACGTGTCAGATAGATGCATCTGCTTGCTTGGTTGTGATGGGAACTGCTATGTTTTTGCCTTCCTTTATGGTTACAAGCTGATGGTGAGCTCTGCAGTGGTGTTTGGAGTGAGCTGTTGTGTGTCTAAAGTTTAGAGCATTTTTTTTTGAGTTACAGGGTTAGGATTGGACCCTTCCAAGTTTATTGAAATAATGTGATTAGGTCAAAGACAAGATTCAAATAACATTAGAGAATACCAAGGCAAAGAACCTTGGTTGGGAAACAAAAGAAAACAAAATAGAAAGGGCTATATCTAAATAAAAGGAACAGTATGTGAAACAAAATAAAACAGACCCTGAGATCTGTGCTTTTTCTAAATGAGAAAACAATTGTAGTAAATGCACCCCCTACATGCACAACCCCTGCCCCCAAACCCCCACACCAAACAGACATGCAAAAATCAACAGAACACACAGACACACACGTTCCCCTCTTACCATTTCACTGACAATTTTTCAATATTGCTGTTCTGCATGAAGCAGTTAAGGCAGTATTGCAATGCAGTTGCTGCAGGGATATTTTCTGATTTTTGAATAGGTGACTGGGAAAGAATGTGATGATGGGTCTGAATGTGGTCCCTGCTATAAAGAATTGTAGAAGTTCTCTATTCCATCCAAGACTTGTTGTATGAACTTGATAATGAAAAACATTTTACATTTCTGAAAGCATAGAAGTAATTTTTAGCTACTAAGATAAAGGTGTAGCATGATACAAATATTGTTGAAGTGCCTGGATGACTTTGTGTAGATGTGATTTTATTGCGATACTGATTTTTCTTTTTATAACATACATCTCACTGACAATAATTCTGACTGAATTAATAAAAATTGTTTAATAGTAATTTATCTCTAATAATTCCATCACTATATTTGATAGTATATTTCCTATTGTTGCACAGCATGATCTACGTTCCAGGTACTGAAGTGCATATTGTGACCTTAAAAACTCTGACTGGGTGACAAGAATGAATTGCAATTATAGATTAGTCCAGAAGTCTCCTATTTGACAGTGGGAGCTTCAGCAAATGCTAGCACTGGTCAATTAGCTGATGTTAACCTCTGAATTCAGTTTTCGATAGTCTAAAGTAGATTTGATGTTTCATTTCCTGAAATAAAAACAACTTCTGAACTGTTAGAAAAAAACAGTAGCTCCTAAGGACTAATTACAGATTTTTGTCATGGGGTTGTAGTTATTCCATGAATTCTGCTTCAATTAGGGAAAAATACTCTTAAGTGCCAATAAAAGTTTTTATGCTGCTAGGGTTTCCTTCTGCCTTCCTCCTCTCAATTTATGACTTTATTCCACTGTCTCTGTTATTAAGTGACACTTTACATGGTTTTAATGCAAATTACTTCAAACTCTGTTAGTGAGGCAGAATCACATCAGGTTATTATCCAGATTACTCCATGCTACAAAGAAATGCTGGGTACTGCACAAACCAAAGAAGATGGTTGGGAAGCTGCTTCATAGTATAAGGAAACAGTGTTTAATTTTTTAGTGTTTTCTAGATTGGCTTGGCTGTGTTTAAAGCAACCTTTACAAGCAGATGGTTCAAATACTTGGCTCCATAATTTTGCCTTGATCTGTTCTATATTCATCCTCTCAGATGATGGCAAAATGCACGTTGTATTTTCATATCTGTCTTAGAGGAGATAAAATAATTTTTCAGATGCTATTTTTTTCTCCATTTCTAAAGTGAACAGTGGCATGTGGTATGTTTTAGAATCTAATGTTGTCTCTTCATTGAAGCCAGTAACTAAATTCCAGCTGATGTCAGTGTGAACAGGATCCAGTGTGTGTTTTGGGCTTATTTGAAAAATTTCTTTTCCACACCAGTGCCACTCTAAATATTCTTAAAATTCTTCAATATTGTGCACTATAGGTGATTGCATAGTTTTCTCTTTTTTCCCCATAATGTTAAAAATGCATAATCTCATTTACAAGACAATTATAATCTTGTTCATACAGCAATACCATTTTAGATGGGAATATAGCAGATTTTCGCATTGCCCAACAGAAACCTTATAAGGGATGTTTAGACTGCACACAGAAACAGCTGTGACAGGTTTATGGCCAATGTTTACAGACCTGCTTTGACTTCTCTACATCAGTGTCAGTGCTTGCTATTACAAGGTGCACTTTGAAGGTTGAAATGTAGAATATCTAGGGGTTTAAAGTATACTTAAATGCATGTTTGCAATTTCAATTCCTATAATTCCTGAAGATTTATACCTTTACAAGAGCCTGAAATAATACTGAGCCTTCAGACCACTTCTGCCTTTTAGAGAGGCTCTTAGTTTGAAATCATACTACTTTCAATGTAATGAAATTAATAGTGGGTAATGCAGCTCTAGGAGCCACAGCTGCATTGACCTGTCTTCCAATATTTATTGTTCAGTGTATATTTTATGTTTTACCCTCTGTTAAAAGAATATTTTAAGTCCTATTATTCAGAGGCCCTCTGAAGGAGAAAGAAATACTGGAATGACTGCCAGCAAAATCCTGTCAAATGCGCAGTCAGCAGTTTACATCTAAAATACTGTCTAAATTGTGATTCAAAGCTTGTGCAAAAGAATGTTGGTTTGTTTTCAAATTTGTTAGAGACCTCCTGAGAGTTGCTCTGTGCTTTTGGGAAATCAAACATTTCCCAAATTAAAAACATATAGAAAAAGTCTTAGATTCCTTTGCTTTCTGTGAAAACACATATTTAAAAACAATGTGGGATTAACACAGTGTGTGTTGGAGCAAATTGTTAGTATTGCCCATGTGTTTTTCTCCACTGTTACTGTGAACTTAACCCCCAGAGAGTATTTCCTGCTTAGCTGTTAGGAGAAAAACATAGAATGGAAAGCCCAAAATTTAAGAGTAGCCATGATAAATTAAATGCAAGGCTTTGCTAAACAAAAACAAGCCCTAATGTTCATTCTAGCCCATACTTCCAGTGCAGCAGTGCTGAGTATATGGTATGTGCTGGCTGGCAGATATCAGTAAGTGAAATATTGTGGGCATTGCAGGTACTGCATAGTAGGTGAAATTCAGGGATATCTCTACCCATGATAATTTTTGTTCAGGGTGTCATTGCCTCCATGGCTGTATGGGGCCAGAGGAGTAAATTTTATTTTGCAGTAAGTGAAATTGGATTCACTGCTGTGCTCTGTGCACACCAATCTTCTGAGCAAGTTTGAATCCCAGGGTGATGATCTCCTTGTAGCTGGAAGTTCTGGAGCTTTGCAGTGTTGATCAACTTCTCCTGTGACATAACCAGATCATCAATCAAATGATATGTCAGGAGAGATAAAGGCATGTTCTGTCATGGAATAACCTTGTCAAAATAATTGAACTAACTTGGCAGAAAATTTAGCCTTTAAACAGCTCCAAGATAAGCAGTGAAGTGTAAAGAAAATTTTATCTTGCATGAAAAGTTTGCAGTTGATTTTTGGGCTGGAACTGAGATAAAAATTGGAATATGCCTTTAGCATTTTTTTTTTTTTTTAATGTACTGTGTACTTTACTAGTGTCTTGACACTTCCACATTTAAATCAAATGCATATTTCTGGGTCACAGTACTGAATGCTGACATTTTGGTACTGATCTGTCAAGCTCTTAAAACATATTTGACATTAGTCTATTTGCACGTTATTAGTGAATCCCTCATGAAAAGAATTGTAGGAGCACATCCCTTGGTAGAAAGTTACTAAGCTTAAGCAGTAAGTACAGTGTATTTTTTCCAATAAATGTTTTCTAGAATTAAGTGTTCATGTCAGACTCTGTACATGGTTCTCCTCCATGTTGCTGAGTTAAAGATGAAAACACAGTTACTTGTAGGGTTAATCAGAAACAAAACTTGAGAGAAACAGTCTAAACATATGTAGTTAAGAATAAGTTAAACTGACACTTATTTATTTTGTATTGTTTTAATATTTTCAGTATTTCAAAATACAACCAGTCTGATATAGATGGCTCTGTGAAAAAGGGTACTGGTTTTGCAGTTGTGTTAGACAGAAAGCTGTTGAATATGCGGTATTTTCTGTTTCAACAGAACAGTGCATATCTGCTGTGTACTCTCATGTAAAAATTACAGATAATGGTATAGAGATCCATCATAGGTGAAGCAGAGAAAATAAAAAAATACCAGGAATATAATTCTTCAGAATTTAACATGTAGAAATGGCACCGTATAGTATATTCTAGTATACAGAGTATGCCTTTCTAATGCTTTCCATTTGTATCTAGAATAATCACATCACAAAAATCAGGTTCAACATTAATAATGCTCTGGCAGGTGACATTACATCTCACATGCACTTATTTATTTATGCCCTTCCTTTGAAAGGCATCCTGCAAATCGTACACATGGCCTTACTTTACAGGTGCTGCTGTACAGAAAGAGGGCTTTGGGTCTTATATTCTTATTATCTTGCTTCTCATGCTTGGAGATCTTTTTACAGTGCAAAACATAATCCTTATTAAAGCTCAAATATTACTTAAATTAATATAAACTTGTTAAAACAAAGTTTAGATATTCTAGTGTTTCATAGGTGATTTAAAAATAAATATGCATAGCACTACTGTAATACAAATTTTTTACAAAATTAATTCATTTCTGTTTTGTTTTCTGGTTTAGTTGTTTTGGTTTTTTTTTTTTTGTGTAGTTGTGTACCATGTGATAAACTAAGCATGAAGAGGATTCAGGCTAAGCTAAGCAGGAGGAGGATTCTATGTATGCAAAGCTCATCTAACCCCATAGGCAGTATGTTGTTTCCCTTTCCTAGGCATATAATTATCTGATGAATTTCAAGTGCATAATTCAACTTTTTTTCTGAAAGAAAAGTCAATAGTAGCAAAGTGGCTGCTAGTATCTTACACACATATGTTAACTTCAACTTTTCTGTTTATTCATTCAATTTCACAGAAATGATCAGGTTTGCATTTGCTTGAGAGTATGAGTTGGATTTGCTTGAAATTCTTTGTAATTCTAAGTGGAATTGAAATTATCTTTCAGCATTTTCTATTCTTTTTGCTTTATTATTTGACATTATTTGTCTGACTTCGGTTTAAAAAAATAATTTAAAAAATCATTTAATGGCAGGGTTTAATGGTTTTATTTAATGGGGTTAATTATCTTTATAATGTTGTATTTGTCCAGCAACTGTCTTTGCTTTCCACCCTATTCTAACAATTTTTCACCTCTGATCACTTCATGATAAAGTTCCAAGGTATGGCTCTATCTGTCCTCCTGCCCCAGGGCCTTTGCTCAATTGTAGCCTAACAACACTACCAGTACATAAAGCTGCCAATACACAAAGCTGAGGAATAACTAATATACATGGAGAATAAGTTATGCAGCAGATAAGCTGTAAAAATTTCACAGGCCCAACCTTTAACTGTTTTTCACGTTTTTCCAGCATGTGACACTGTAAGACACCGTATGAAGTGGGGTTTACTATGGATATGCAAGACTAAATTCTATTTTATTTTCATACAAATTGGAAATGGCAAAATCCAATCTACCATTCGTTTCATTGTCAACTCCTCCTCCCCTCCCCAGTCCCTTCTTATTATGCTGGAACCTGATGCTGTTTCCACTGCAGCCACAGTATGATGTGGCACTGCTTATATTCTAAGTGGTTATATTTACATGGAATTCTCAGCTACAAGCAGCCTGAGTCTGCCTATTCAAGGCCATTATTCATAATGTAATGTGATCCTGTATTTAACACAGTTATCTAAATAAATCTGTCCCTGAAATTAAATTTAGTTTCTAAAAGGTTAAGCCTAAATTTGGCTTCAAACTCCAACTTCTATGTAGGAAAATTAGCAATTTGCTAAGTCTCCACTCCAAGTAAACTTTATTAGCTTAGTTTGTTTTAGGATACAGAAATGAATTACTGAACTGCTGTTCTACATCTGATTTTGGAGCTAGCTGGGTATCCTCTCCTTTGTGAATTACAGACACAACCTGTTCATCTCAAATATTTAAGGGAGAACTGGATTAGGGTAGGGGTTAAAAGAAATGAGGAATAGTGGTATAAAATGTTACAGCATTACACAGAAATGAGGATGATATTGCCTAATATCTATCTATCTATCTATCTAGTTATACAGATAACAGCATAGTACCTACAACAACACAGTAACAGACCTCTTTGCTTTCGGTGCTTAATACAGAAGTGAAGATGACTTTCACAAAGACATTTATTGATGACCTGTATGTTTTTAGTAACACTTCAGACAATAAAGTTGTTACATAATCAAGCTAAACTTCTATGATATAAAACTCTTTCTATTGAAATAGGAAACATTTAACATCCACAAGTCACAAATTACAACTGCACAAAAATATTGAAAATAAAATAGTACCTAGTTTTTGTTATCTAACTTGCCAACTACAAAGCTGGATCCCATGGCACTAGTCCACTGAAAAGATCACACAATGCTGTTCTCAGACACCATCTGATCTGTCCCTATCCCTCGAGTGTCCTGTCACATCTGCAGAGCTCTCTGATGACAATGAGCTTGACGGCTGGGCTGTAACATTGAGGATTTGTTAGTTCAGCCTTGGCTGGGAGGTCGCTGTTGAGATGCTCTCAGTGATTGATAGAACAGCCCTCACTTTGCACGAGCTGGTGGGATGAGGGTCTGGCCAAACTTATAAAGCAATGCAGAAGAGCAGGGCTGGAGCCCTGACCTTATGAGTGGTACAGAAATGGTTTGACATGTTTTAAACTGAGCAGGATGTTATTAAGAAACTTAGGGTCTCTCAAAACTTTCTTGAAGGTTTTACTAAGCTGAAAGATAAATTCTTTTTGTGCCTGTGTGTGTGTGTGTGTGTTTTTTCCCCCAGTCTGTTGCAAAACTAAAAATAAATATTTACATTTAACACTTAATATTTCCAAATTCAACAAGTCCCTGTTTTAAGCCTTCAACCACCCTCTCCTAAGGATTTGTTTCTCATTTCAGTAGCAAATATTTCCCTGGGAATACCTGCATTCTTAAAAAGGAGGTCAAGTTTATCAAAATAAACCTTTGCTGAAGCTATTCAAGCAAAACTAAACCAAACCTAGAAAACTTACTGTATTGTCTGCTGATGTCACAGTTTGAAGTAGACAATGGAAGCTATCACCTAAATAATAATAATAATGCTGGTAAAGTAAAGGACTTGTGCTTACTCTGCAACCTCTTGATGAACAATGTAAATATGAGGAAATTGTTAGGCCAAGAAGACAGATTAATCCCCACTGCATCTGTAATGGTTTTGTTGGAATTTGGGCTAACCAGTGTAGATTACTCAGTATGGTTTAGGATGGGCCTACAATGGACAAGCAAGTAGGGAGCAGAACACAAAACATGAGTCATATAAAGTACTATTGCACAATAAATAGAAATAAATATTATGCATGTACATGTCAAATATGTAATTCAGTAATTATTCAGCAGAAAAAAAGGTGTTCATTCAAATAAATAAAATTATGGTGGAACAGGGGTTGTAATGCCTGTACTTAGGGTTATATTTTGTTCCCATTATTACTGACTTGGGTTCCTCACAACAGGAGAGTACAAGGACAGACTAAGAGTTTGTAGTATTTTACTTTGGTCACCACAAGAAAAGCACTGTGGATATTCCCAAAAATAACTGCATACTATTTATTGCATATTAATTAACTTTGTGTTCTTTAGGTAGTGGGATTTCGTCCTTAAACATGTACAGCCATTTTTCTTTTCATATTAAGAGGGCTCAACCCAAAGTTCCCCAAAGATAGCAGTCATACAGAGCCAAATCTTACTCCCTCCTTTGTTGGCACTGGGTAGGTCCTTGCATCAAAGGATATTCTGGCCATCTCCACCTGCCCCTCAGTAGAGACCACATGGCCAAGGGTCCCCAGCAAAGGCCAGACTGTCCCCTCTGCCCCACCTGTGCTCTGCCTGCCCCATGCACAGGTCTCCAGCCCGCAGGGAGGCAGGGCAGTGTAAGGCTCAGCAATAACGTGTTTCTCAGCACCTGCCTTGGCTGCAGATACATGATAGAAGTGGTGTGGGTGTCCTTCCTGTGGGCTCTTCCCTTAGCTGTCAGCTTGGGGTGTTGTGAAACTGCAGCATCTGGCTCTACACAGTAATTCTGTGCTCCAAAAGGTTTACTTTCTGCTGCTGCCCAGTTAGAGTTGTGAGAGAATTTTATCCCTAGATTCTTTTCAGTATCTGCTGATTTGCTGAAGTTTTATTTTCTTTTAAGGAGCTAACATATTTGGCAGCTGATGATTGTTTTCTTACTCCTTAGGAGAAAGAAAATTTCCCTGCATCATTTAGGAAAGCTTTCCCCTCCACTTTCTTTGCCTATCCATTCACGGCCAGTGCTGCCCTCAGAGCCCACCGGGTGCAACCCCCTCCTACCCTTCCTTCAGTTACACAGCTGAATGTGCATGCTTCTGCTTTTTCACATGGCAGATGCAGATGAGCCCAGCAGCTTAGGATACATAGTCTCTTAAAAGTGCAGGATCTGGCATGAAATGATCAAGATCTGTAACCAATGGCTTTGATTTTTACGTCTTCTCTTTGAGATGGCTCTTGTAGTAATGCAATCGATGCTTTGCAAATGTGCTCCCTATTGTGGTCATTGGGGACATTGGATTTCAGTGACCAAAGGGATGAGCAGGTGATGAGGAAACGCTTGCTTAGACCCTGCCAAGGAAGTTACTGGCCTCCCAGATGGACAAGTCTGTGTTTTATTTATGCAGGAGTTTTGCCACAGGTGAGTATCTTCAGTTCCTTCAGGTGACAGGGAAGTGTAGATGTTTCTTCCTGTAACAACTTCTGAGACGTAAAGCAAATTTGTGGCTGCATCCAGCAGGTGGCAAGCACAGCACGCAGAATTAGGGCTGTACAGAGATGCTTCTGCCAAGGCAAGCTCCTGATGCAGCTCAGCATGTGCATGTGTGTCTATGAACAAAATATACAGATAAATGGCAATCTCTGCCAGTCCTTTGTCAACTTAGAGAGTGCTGGGGCACAGGTCCTGTTCTGGGTGCTAGTGATAATGCATGGGGTTATTGCCATATTCCGTTTAAAGAAATGTCTGTCTCACATGTAAGGATATAAGCTAAACAGAAAATATTCAGTACAACAATTTAAATATGTCTTTAAATGACATAGTTAAATGATGTTCAGGCTTCAAATGCTGAGACACTAGCTTGCAATTAAATTAACTTAAAATGAAGGAGATTTTTTGTAACATACAGCTTTAGAAGTTGTGACCTGTCACAGCTCCTTACGATGTATATGAGTAGACACGTTCCCATTTTTACAGCTGGAAGAACAAAGGCAAAATTGAAAAAAACTTTCTTTAGTATAAGTGAATGAAAGACTAGGAAAATTTCTAGACCTGGTTATAGCCCCATTTTTTCCTTAAAAAGTATTAAACTACAGAAATAACTGTTTTGCTAGGTTTTGATTTTGATCATCAGAAAATATGGATAATCCAACCACTCACTACTTGAGACAAACCCACATTAGACATAAGATTTTGAAGACTACAAATACTGCAAATTCTTAAGGGGTATGTAGTTTTCTACATGATACATGTAAAGTTTTTGATTTTTCCTTACGTTTTTGTAATCTCAAAAAGTACTTATGAACTCATTTATTTTTGAGGACAATAAATGGGTGTGAATCAGGCATAAATATTATCTGAAGCTCATTATTTGAGGTAAAAAGGACACATATAAGGATATAATTGGTGGAAACTTCTTACAGTGCTTATCACCTTTCCTCTTGATTTGCATTGAGAGTTTGAGCCAGACTTTAGTTCTGATTTATGCTAGTATAAATCTGAATTTGTTCCATATAAATAATAAAATGTTCTACAGGGAGCAAATACCCTGGGCATAATTTCATATAAATGGAGAGAAATTCTGTAAAAGCCAAGAGTAAAGTTTGATCTCACATGTTTTGTGATGGGACTAAAAATATTATTAATTAAACTGATACATAAGCATTGTCAAATTTTTGCTTATCAGTATATGAGTTTACTGAATGTGCAGGAATTTGAAAAACTAAGTGGATTTGATTAATTGGTAACTTCTTTCATTGAGTGTCCTGGTTATAACAGACAAATAGTTTGAAGTTTTCTGATCACCTCTTTCCCAGAACTCATGTTTTCAAATATAGAATTTTACTTTTAGTCATACAGAGTATGGAGTCAACTCCTTCTGTATGTAAAGTTCTTCAAAGTCAGGGTGCCTTATCTTGAGGAAAGGCTGAGTGAACCCCATTTCTGTGTGCTCATATATGGTATTTTTTTAACTACTATAAAAATACCCACTGGAATATAAATGTACATTTCTGAAGCAATGTTTGAAATGTATGAGTAGGAATATAAATCTAAAAATATATTTATTCTATATTTAATAAATAAATCTGCATTTTATTGCATATATTATTATGAAAAAAATTGCCATTAAAAAAAATAGTAGCATAAATCAGAATAAGACCAATTTTGAGAACCTTAAATTTCCATTTGAGTTTAAAATTGGGCCTCTATATATAACATATATTTGAAAATATATTATAAATATGATTATAAGACATTTATGTTGTTAAAAAAAAACACCAACAAAACAAGAAACAAAGCTCCACTCCTTCAACAGAATAGCTCACATATATGCAAATCAAGTTCTTTGTATTTCATGTTATTTGCATAAGCTTTTCCTTTTGAAACACCTGTGAACTTAAGTTAGGAGTTTGCCCTCCCCTTCCTTTGTAGCTCTGAGCGGATGGTGGGATGCTGGCAGGAACTCTGACATGCCTGTCCAACACTTACGCTGCTTTCAGTAAAGGAGAACAAAATGAAAACGAATCAGTCCTCTCTGCAATGTAAGCTGAAAGGCCATTGCGGACTCTTTACAGTATGATTTCTCGGAGGTGATCCAGTGTTGCTGGAATGAGCTGCGATATTCAGGACCGCAGATGAATCTTGTTGCTCTTGCTGCTTCGCACACAAGGTTGTTCAAAAGAAGAACTGTGCAAAACACCTCAATTGGTGTCGAAAGGCCCAGCAGTCTTTTTAGTGTGCAAGCGGATATTTTCTGGTGGCCGATAGGAGAGAGAGCTCATTTTTGTTGTTAGGCTTGGATGTGTGCTGACATTTGGTGGGATGTATTTTATCAGCTGAAGGAAGTATTTTTTAAAGTTTTTTCCAAAAAAAACGTAAAAAAATGGATTCAGACAGTTGTTAAAGTAAGCGATACAAATAGTGAAGGGCATAGCTGTATCCACAATATCGGTGATTTTGCAATCTGTTATTACATGTAATTGAATCAACACATCCAGAAAAGTGAACACTTGATGAGGAATCCAGGAAAAGAAAAAGAAAAATACAATTGCCACAATCATCTTAAAAATATCATCATTTCTAGTCTTATTTTTTTGAATTTGATATGCCTTCTTCAGTGTCTTCCAAATTAAGGTATAGCTTGTTAATATGATTAGAAAAGGAATCAAAAAGCCCAGCAAATTCTTAGATAAACCTAGCCCGACCCGGAGCGTCGTGTTATTGCTTTCATAGCGAAAGCCACAGACCGTCATGTTCAAATTCTCAGCAAAGAATATGTTGCGGTGGATGATGACGGGCAGGCTGGCCACGCCGGCGAGAAGCCAGATGGCGATGCAGGTTACTCTGGCTACAAACATGGTCCGGCGGATGCGCGACTGCACTGGGTGCACGATGGCCAGGTAGCGGTCGATGCTCAGGCAGGTGAGCAGGAACACGCTGGCGTACAGGTTGAAACTTATCCCCGCCGAGGCCAACTTGCACAAACAGTTGCCGAAAGGCCACTGGTACTCCATGGCCGTGTAGGCAGCCCAGAGGGGCAGAGTTATCAAAAAACACAAGTCAGCTAGGGCCAGGTTGAGAAGAAAGATGCTGGCTACTGTTTTTAATTTCATGTAGCAGTAAATGACAATAACGACCAGGCTGTTCCCGAATATGCCTATGATAAAGATGATGCTGTAAACGGTTGGAACCATAATGTAGATGTAGCTGTGCCTTCCTGAAACAGGACAGTCCACGTGGATTCTTTTAACAGTTTCTTCAGTAGAGTAATTTGGTATCATCTTGAACTCTTCAGCTATAACCTTGTTTCAGGGAGAAAATATGAAGCTCACACCTAGGAGAGGAAAAGATGAAGGAAAGAGTATTTGTGAGAGGGATTTAATTTTTAACAATTCCCAACTGAATGTCAAGTCTTCTGTCAAGTCTAACACAATGTGTCTTTGAATTTTAAAATAGGCCATCTTCAAGTGTTTTATCAACCAATTCCTATTTTAATACAGACTCTGCAGCGTAAAACAGGTAAGAATGTTAGGAGTTGGCTGAACATTTTTAGATTCTTTTTAACATAAATGAAATCTTAAAAACCTCTTTCAATTAACAAATTTCTAATTTAAAATAATACTGGTTAGCGAACGTGTGTCAAAAATAATAAGAGAGACTGTAAATAGCAGAGAACTATAAATTCAGTGGAGTCTTTAGATTATTTTCTTTCCATAAATAGGTGACATATTTAATGAGGTAAGTTATTCAGATATCTCAGAAACTAAACTTAAGCACTCTGAATACTAATAAGTATTCAGAGTAATAAAGTATGTAAATACAAACTGCAATGAATTAAGAAAATAGGTTACTTTAGATTAGGTACTCATTTGTATCTCTTAGATTAATCACTAGAATTTTTTTTTTTTATATATTGAATTTAATCCTTGAGGAAATTTTCACATCACAGAGTGAGATGAAAACACAACCTAGTATTCTGTTCTACCAAAAATACCTTAAATATTCGGAGGTTACTTAGCTCCCCATCTGGCTTGGAACTATGGTATTTAACTACTGGTGAGGGAAAAAGAATCTGTGAAAATCCAGTCATGTCCTGATCTGTTGCACATTAATAACTGTACCAAGAGTTTAAGAAGGGTGCAAGGAGAGACATACTACTTTTCCAGTTGCTGAGAAAATTTATGTATCCAAGAGTTGAAGTTGTATTTCTGGATCATATTAAGTGCTCAGGAAGGGTATGAAATCTCCTTTAAAGGGCACCTGTTTGGTTTGCCAGGGTCTGTGTGTTCTGCAAAAATAATTTCCTTATTAATGACTGCTTACTTTAGAAAGCAGGTAATACAGTGTAAGTGGCTCTGATTTTCATTACCTTTCAGAGTCTAAAAACAGATAGTCTTCCCTGAAAAATAACAGATGTTTAAAAAAAAAAAAAATTAAAAAAAAAAGAACAGCTATTATTGCAGAGTAGTGTTTATCACTGTTTGCAGGATCCTGACAGCTCTAAGCCAAACCCAAATCATGATGCTAAAAACAAAGATTAACTGAAATACTTTGGCTTCAAAAACAAAACAAAGCAAACTCCAAACAGCAAAAAAACTTTATAAATGTAAGATCCACCCTAAGACCCTGGGCAGTACAGATGCATTCAGAAAGCAGAGATGCCCATCATTACAGACACATCAGCTATGTTGCTACAGATGTGGCTGCTCCTTATTTGAGAGGCTCAGCACCTGATGTTCCTTTTAAGTGCAGAATACCACTGAGTTTAGTGTTTGACTTGCTCTTATCGGAAGACTAATCTTTTTACAAATGATTGTGTTTTTAACAGGGAAGTGAGGCACAGATTTGTTTCAGCAAAGCCCTCACAGGAAGTCTGAAGGAGCCAGGAACTGAACCCAGAACACAAGAGGTTGCAGGCAACATCTTGTGAGTAAGGTTACCCTTTGGCTCTTAGTGTTTTGAAGACTTCTTATTTCTCTGTCTTAGCTCATTTGTAGCATATGTTTGCATTAATAACCTAATTAATTTCTACAAAGCTAGCACAGTAATGTCAAGATTTAGGTTCTTGATAATTCTATCAAGTTTAGAATATCTAAAAAAATGCAACTAATAGACAGTTGGTCAAGATGTGCCATGCAACATTTCCCAGTCTCTTCAATTCATTCTGTTGTTGCGTCAGTTGGCATAGATGTCTCAAAAGGACATCAACTATTTTTGCCATGTTTGAGAAATAAAAAAAGTCAAGGAAATAGAGCTAACACAAAGAAAGGTTCACCATTCTGATCACATTGATCACATGTGACACTCTAGTACATCCTTAGCAAAACCTGGCTTTCAAATTGTGCCTGATCTAAAATACAAGGTGTTTGGCGCTGTGGAAGGTCAGCCTATCCCTGGGACTGAGAATCCACAATAAAAATATTTCAAGATAAATCCTTTTATCTCATCCCTTGGTTATGAAAGTAACTTTGACAGTAACTGATATGTCCTGCAACATCAAGGTCTGGCAACATTACCCTGTCCCAGCTATAGGCTGGTGCTGCAATGTCACTTACAGTCTTTGCTTCCTTATATAGCCACGAAAATTACAGCCCAGAACTTTGCAGTAAGAATCTGTAGTGAAGCTGCAGCTCAGGAGATCACCTGTGCAAGTTTGACTGGCAATAATGTGGATCAGGCCCAGTCAAGCTGGGCAAGGCCCTTCTCAGTGACAAGATTAACCAGTGCCTGGTACAATTTGGCTTTGTGTTTACTCAGTGACAGATTCATCATCTAAGGCAAATGCAGCTGAGGGTGAACATTCCCTTTTGGTGGGGTTGATTCTGTGCAATGGTAGATGCCAAGGCAATTTTCCCATGGTCTTCTCACACACTCCTTCAGTGTACTGTGTTGTGTTGTTTTGCTTCCAATTTCCCTTTTCTACCCACGTGGTGACCTGTACTGTTTCATGTCAGTAGCTTTGGCTGATGCTAATTAATAGCGTATGTTCTTTCAAGGAAGAGTAACAGTGATTCTATTACATTTTCAGAAACGTGTTAAATAAACAAAAAATAATTCAGTTGGGAAAAATTGTCTGGCACTCTGTGGTATTGAATTCACTGAGCATATTCTAGAGTTCTTGGGAAATAAAAAAAGGAAGAACAATTCCCATGAAGAATCAGGAATTTTGTCAAGAAATAGTATTATACCTCAATCTACCTCTCTGTAAGACTGTGTAATCCTTCTGGAGTTAAAAGGTTTTGGTGTAACATTGAAGTCAGTGGAATTGTTCAAATGATGTGTCTGGTATTTTATCAGTTTTAAATTACACTAAGGATTACAATCAATAAATAAATCTATCGATATTTTCAGTAAGGTACAAGGAAGCAAAAATATGTAATGTGGCTGCTTTTGGGTAAACACAAATGGATTGCCATCTGGGTATCTGAAAACAGTCTGAATGTTGCTGTGCGAATGAGCCTCATAAGAGCCACACATATGAAGCATGCTAAGGAAGGCACTGCTAATCCCAAATGGAATTTTGAAATTTTCTGGTAATTCTAAAGTTTCAGAACTAGTTTCAGGTGGATCTGCTTCCTTGAGCACAACTGTAACTTCAGAGCATTAGGAAAAGCTTCAAAATTTGAGATTTTTTTTGGAACCATGGCTGTGCTGAGTAGTGAGAGAGGGCTCCTGCTGCAATGTGAACTCAACAGGCAATGATTTCTTTCCCATACCACCTTCAGTTTTTCCTGTTATTCTCACTGGCCACAGTTCGTCTGCTTGTCCCAGGATCATGGCTGGACACATGCAAAGCAGATACTTCTACACAGTAGGAACTGCAGATTCTTAAAAAATACTACAGAAATAGATGGCTGATACAGCTTTATGCTGCCAGAATTCAACAAAGCAGGTTAAACCACTGGCCAATTAAATTAATCTATTGAAGTTTTGCACATTGATAATTCCATGTAAAGCATCTCAAATGACCTGTGTTAACATAATGATAATTGGATCATTTTAAGGCTGATACACAATGAGCTTTTTCTAACAGGATTGCATTGTGACTATGAGTGGTGTAGTGGCATCAATCTCAAACAAATTATCTGGTGAGCAGCAAGCCCCTGTTCTGAGGTACTGTCCTGTTTGACCTTTTATCTTTTTAAACTACAATTATTACAATAAGTCACTGATAATGAAATGCTTCAGACTGCTCAACCAACTATTATTTACTGCTCTATTCATTGCTTCTGTTGGGTGAACATGCATCCTAATTAAACTGCTTGTGGAAACAAGGAATGCTGGGCTCATGTAAGGTAAACAGCACTTTGCCTACTGAAAGGTAAGATGGCAGCGACTGTGGCTTTCTGTGAGAACTTCATCAGCTAAAAATAGGTAAGCAGGTGTCACAAGTCAGATTTTGAACAAAAATGTACTTAATATTTGCTTTGACAAAGACTAAGTAAACTCAGGCTGACCAATCCTGCCACAGCTCAGCCACCTTATCACTAGGTAATGTGCACTTTCCTTCTTCTGATAGTGGGTGGCTTATTTGTTTTTCTTACAAATGGGAAGATAGTTCCATGTTTAAGAGGATACTGCATTCTATTTTTATGTAAAATTTTTGCACAGATAGAAAAGACAATGAAAAATGTTTGGATCAGTATGTTCAGTATATTAGCTATATTTATTTCTTTCTGGTGGCGTAAGCTTTCCTTCATTTTAAGAGTTTAGACCCCCCCTTTCCTAATTTGTTCTAACTGCTGAGAAAGCAATGACACATATGCTTTATTGCAAAGGCTTTTAGGGTCTTTTTCTATTCAACAGAGTAATCCTTTCCTATCCTCTTTGCCTTAGTGAATAGAGCTACTTCTATTTCACAAGCACACTTCAGCACCTTCTCTGCTTTCCTGAAGTTCCTGAGCAGTACCATTGTGAAGCCATAGACCTTTCTCCTAGCTCTTATTTCTTCAGCTAGTTCTAACAGTCTGTATTTCCCACTGATGGCTTTAATTCAGAGTTGATAGATTAATTGTGAAGGGAAAGAGAAATACAAACAAGGGTACATGATTTAAACTGTGGTGCCATTACGCTGGGCTCTTGTCATCACTGTCGATACCTTCTACAGATGTCAGCATCTGACTTTGTGGTGGTAAATAAATCAAAATACTACTGAAAAGGAACTGTGATAGGTAGTACAGCACCAGACACTGTCTGTACATCAGCTCATGAACACCAAGAACACAAAGCAAAACTCAGCAGATGTGTTTTTCGCAGCTGTCAAGCTGGCTGCTGCTCTGCAATTTTGGATCAGGAGGTGGTCTGACATCAGAACAAACAGAACTTGCAGGACCTTGTACTGGCCTTTGCATTTCCTTTCAATAACTGTGCAACTGAGGCAACTGCCAGTCCATTGAAATTGCTGTTAATTTTGTGATGTTTGCTTTATTTATTTTAAAGCATGTATATTTTTAATGCTCTAACCTATACGTGGATCCTTTGTGCCTTCCCCTTGCAAGAGCTCAAGCTGGTCTGCTTCACTTGTGCTGGCTCTATATAGCTGGAAAATAAACTGCCTGTGATCCTTTCAGGATCTGATTCTCTATAACATCAAAACCTAAATTGGTTATTACTTTTTTTTGTGCTAGCAGAACAGTTCCTGTTACCTTGCAAATGTGAACTGTTTATGTACTCTGACCTTCTCTGTAAGAACTTCTCTGTATTTATTTCCTCTGCCACACTTCAAAAGAGCCTGTCCTTCTGTAGGATGGCTTTATAGCTTATTCTGAGAAGAATTAACATCTATCTTCTGTTTGTTCTCATGGACTACTCTCATTAATTTTCTCTTCACTCCCCAAGTATTTTTCAACTACTCAGTTTCAGTCATAAAATTTATGTGAAAAAGGATAGATGAAGAGGCTTTTTCCTCTGGGAAAAATCGATGCATATGCAATGCCTGAACGGTGGAATTGAGGGTGTGTATGATTTTAAATGATTATGGGGGAGGAAAATGCAAAAGAATGTAACACAGTTAAGCATAGTGACATTTAAATTGCTTTGAAGCTTAACTCATATAATATAGATTTTCACCACTAGAGGTCTGTATTTCCTATTTTAAAATTAGGGAATTGCTATGTTTTGTACTCAAGTGCTATCAATTTTCAGAATATCCACTTAGTTCAAGATTATTTAAGATGAAAACATAAGGCAAAACATATATAATTGTACCTGTACTTATTTAAATTTAATGTACTAGAGGTAACTATTTTCACTTTATTTTAGCATCTACCAGCTTCTATCTAATTTCCTCTATTCTGGCACATTCCTAGTTTTGCTAACCTTCAGTCCAGTTCTTGCACTTTTAAGACTTAGAATAAGATTCTGATATTTTATTTTTTCAAAGACATATGCAACTTAAACTCTCTGTGACCCAAATTAAGAAGAATATTTTAAAGAAATTTAACTTTAGCAATGCAGATAGAAAAAGAGTGACACCTAGTCATTCAGCTAAGGTCATTTTAGATCTAACTAGACATGTTGTTAATCATATAACTCTTTTTCCAAATATCAGCCAATTTTGAAGGAAGATGTTTTTACTGTTGAAAATGACACTTCAGAACTACTATTTTCTGCTTATTTTTTAAAGCAGCTTAAGGGACTTTTAGAAATTGAAAGGTAACAAGCCTACACAGTGTTATCCAAATGGTGTGTGCATTTTATGAATTTCCAGCAGTTTAATAATTTGAAAATAGAAGTATATTTAACACTTTTTCACCACCACCAACTCCCAGTTTTACTAATATACTTGGATTTGTCATTACCTCTTTGGACAGTGTCAGTGCATGATGCTGTTATTCTGTTTCAAATTACGTGTTTACCTAAATAGTTCCCTCATGCTGGAAGGGCAAACAGTATTTAATTCAGACGGAGCAGAAGGGCTGTTAGTGTCAAAATGAGATTTATTTTATTGAAAAATAGTAGATGAGCAAACTAGAACCAAAAAAATGACATAAACTATACTGTCCTGTGCCTGATGAGTTGGACTAATCAGTATCTTGTCCTGTATTTATGTCCAATGGGTTATACAGCGTCAGTGTATCTCTGTGTACTTAAGGGATGTTTGGGTATAAGCATACAATGCTTATATCTCTAAGCTGCTAAAAACAGGAGCATTTAGAGAGAACAGAAGTGATATATAGAGATGGAAAATCAGCAAGCAGTTGGATAGATTTAAAATGAAGACTAAAGAAATCTAATCTATTATTACACTTACCCTTTGTGTTAGAAATTGACATGGCAAAAATTGGCGTAAGTGAAAGGCCACTTCTAAAGACAAATTTATGGGGTGGTGGAGTGATGAATAAAATCTTTCAAGTATATTTTTTGGACATTAAATGCTAATATACTACAATGTAAGATGTGACAATTTTTCTGCTCTTTTTAGCAGTCTACAGTGTAATGATGTCACAGTTATAATGTGAGCAGCTGCAGCAGCAGGGAAAGTTTGGACTGTTTGCATATACTCACACTGTACATACAGAGTCCAGAAACACTGGAAATATTTCTTCCTACTACTCAGCTCTTTGGACAAAGCTAACTATCAATCCCCAACTCGTGTTTGTTTGTTTTTTGTGGTTTGTTTGTTTTTTTTCCAGAATCTGGGAAGCCCTGATGTACATACTTCTATAAAATTTTACTTGTAAAAGTTAATGTCAAGAAAGGATTGCTCAACTTCACTGGAGTTTCTCAACCTCACCAGAACGTAGTGGTTTAGAGAATGCTATCATAGCAATGATTATGGGAATTTTTTTGGTACAAATTTTGTACAAATTTATTAACTGACAGATCAACAGGGCACTCACTAGAGGAGCTAAATGTCTTTCAGTTTAGAGTAAGTCTAATTCTTTTAGTTTATAGATTTCATTCTTAGGATTCTCTAGATTTAATTTTCAAAGTAAACATTGATTTCATCTTATACACATAATTTTGTTTTCTCTGCTGTTAAGGGTAAAGAAAACATTCTTGGGTTCAATCCATGTAGGACTGGACTCCAAAACACTGAAAGATTAACCACTGTCAACATGCAGTGTGTTTAATCTCTTGTGGAGGATCAGTGGGATGATGGTTTTAGACACTGCTGGCTCTGGCTTGACAGTGTATGCCAGATATTTTAGACTTTTCTATGGATTTTCTTGTATCATTTTTCCCATTTAAGCATCAGAACAATCTGTTTTCTTTCTTTGACCAAGGCTACATGAATGTGTTGCTAACTTTCTGGCATTTAATATGTCTTAGATATAATATAACCTTAAGGATATGAATATAAAATTATCCCCAGAGCAGTAACTTAAAACTGAAAACATAATAAAATAAACAAAGTAAAATATATTTCTAGATTAATAGTTTATTTCAGTACTTCTGAAACTAAACATCACAATGCTAAGCTTCAGAAAAGATGATGTTTGAAAGGGGATTCTCATGGTGTCCTATCATCTTGGTTGGCCTGTCTTGACAGAAATGATTATCCTCTTTTCCTTATCAAGTTATTAAACCTATAGCCAAATTAGTTTTAAATATGAAAATTAGTTGTTATAGCAGGAAGCAGTCACTGCTCTTGTTTATAACACAAGGTAAAGAATCTTCTCTTTCTGTAGAAAAGGCTGAAGACACTTAGGCATATTAGAACTTTGAAATGAGTGCACTAACTACCATCACCAATCCAGCATGGGTTTTTGCACCTCTTCTCTGGCCATTAGCTTTACCACAAAGGAAGACTGGCACCCTTCTAGGAGATAAAAGTGATGAATAATCAGCAGGCTAACCTAATGTCTTCTCAGGATCATGTCATCTCCTCATACTCCTAAAAATGTCATTTACTGCACATTAGATGAAAGCAACTGAAAGACAAAATAAAGGTATTTCAGTACAATATAGGACTAGAATTTCTAGGGTTTTCAGCACTGACATGAAAAGTTTTTGAACAGCAGCACAATGTAATATTTTAGTATGAATACACATTTTACTGCAGGTTTATAACTTCAAATTTGATGCCGGGTTATGAAGTATCTTTAGGGTATTTGGAAGTACCTGAAAGAATCAATAATTAAGCAGAATTAAGACATCAATCCCAGAATGAATAAAAATGATATTAGTTTGAGCTGTGAAAGGTTACACGCTGCACGGTTACTTTCTCTGAGTGATAGTAAATGAATGAATTAACACATTTCCTTTATTGCAGCTGGAATTGCCTATATAAAATATAGTGTGCCCCATGTGATTGTTTTTAATAAAAGATAGAAATCAAATTCAGGTTTGTTAAGTGCAAGTGAAATAATGTGATGAATTTTAGGTTTATTTTCAGATAGCTTAGTTCCATGGAATAAGAAGTTTTAAAGTTTTTGTTGGTTTTGGTTTTGGTTTGTTTTGTTTTTTTTTTCCTAAATTACATTGCATGGCACATCCTACACAAATGTAGCTTCTGGATACCTAACCCCACAACTGAAATTTCTCCACTGCTTCTATATGTAACGCACCTTAAGATTCTATTGTGAACACCTCCAATCTGAGAAGTAAGGGAATTTACATTAAAACTGGCCTTGATCCAGAATTATATTTCAGTCTTACATTAAAAATGCTGTGGAGAGGCAAGAAAGAAAAAAAAACATACTGAAATAAAAAGCACTGCTGTGAGCATACCTTATCATGGCCAGCACTAACAACAGAGATCAGGTTCACGTAGTGAGGTATCTCACCTCCTTTCAGATCATATATAAATCACAGTTTGATTAATGGATATTCCAAACACCTATGAATCTGTCCCAAGTTACACAGTCCTCTTCACTGAAGCTTGAGGGCTCCTTCTTCAGTATGCAAAAAATAGCAGTAAAACGGTTCTTCCTGCCCAACTTGTAGAAGAAATGCTATTATATTACCATGATATCAAGCAAGTAGAGCTTAATAAGGGGTTACAATACGTTTTATGTGCTGTTTTGAGTATCACTGGTCTCTGATCACTTCTATTCTTGTTGGAAGGAATGTTAGCTGGAAAGCATCCAACACTGAAAGAGTTTTTAAGTTTCATTGTCCAGATCTTAGTCTTAGTCAGTCCAGCAGACTTGTCCAGCAGAAGGGAGCTATCACGTGGAGAGTGGCCTTTTGGGGGGAAAAAAGGCTACTTCCATGAACTGCTGTAATTGCAAGACAGAGCTTGCTTACCAGCCTCTAGATAAAAACAAGTGAGATATATGTAAGCCTAAACTCTTGGTTATATTAATGTTTGTTAATAATTTAGCAGAAAAAGGTACTTCATGCACTTAAATTGGAAATGATAATTTCATAAAATGGTTACTGCTGAGTGACATGCCAACAGCAATATGCAATCACTGTCAGAACCTTTTCTGTTGCTGGCAGAGATTACAACAGAAAATGGAATAGAATGGCCGAAACTTCCACTATTTCCTCAAGAAACAAATCCCCTGCTTCTGGGAGAAAAGGATTTTTCTTAATCTTCGCTCTTTTTTTGTCTTACAGATTTACAGTGAAAGACAACCAGTAGTGTCACTAGTATAAATGTACCAAAAAATAATGTTTTAATTAGGTTTCTGTTGCTCCCTCTAGGCAATGATGTTTCCAAGGGTAGGGGACAGAGCTAATAATTTTGTAGACAAAGTTGGAGGTGATAGCAGTTTGTGGAATTTCCAGTTAGTCCAGATAGAGGCTTCCTTGTTTTTTTCAGTAGTTAGTTTATTTATAGTTAGTAGTTACTTTATTCAAAGACCACAGTGTCATTTGCCCCTCTCCCAGAGTCATGTAACTCTTCTGCTGAGCCAGAAGACAGAGAGGCAAAAATGAACATTATGTATGCAGTTTATTTACACTCCTGAACAACTTTCCTTAGTAAAAGGTGAGATACTAATGCAATCAGCAACAAATTCTGAAAAATAAATTTAATTCTACTTTTCTGGACAAGGAACTGCCTTTCTGTACCTTCCTGTAAAACAGTAGGAAATGTGCCACCAGAGAGCTTACATAGATTTACTTCAATTTGTAAGGCAGATGGGTAATATTTTGATGTGCATGGCAACATTCTGATGTGTGTTGAAGCCTGACCTGGTATGTTAATCCTTAAAAAGCCATTTTCCTGCCATTGAGCTAAATCACCAGGCTGGGACCATGATGCACCTTTGAGCTTTACAGGTTCAAGATGCAATCCTTTCTGCAGGACAGGCTTTTTATTTTTACATCCCACTCCCCACCCAAGGCCCCTGCATCTCCCTCAAATATAGAAAGCAAATATTAAATTAATGAATAACAAGCTTTAGAAAGGCATTGTGCAGAGCAATTACCTTCATCTGCAATGATGGCTAATCAGAAAGCAGGAGAGAAAATAAATACTGAAAATTCTCTGCTTCTACTCCAGAAATTGAGAGACTTCCTTCATACAAAGGCGTTCCACTTTCTAATCTAATGAAAATTAGGTGAGTTGACTGAAAGTAGCTCATGTTGCATAGTGTTGCCTAAAAAGAATTTCCCTCTCTAAAACCCTTTAATGAATCCCATTCCTGTTACCTTTCAACAATGTGGTTAAAGTTAGTAAGAGAATCTTTTGCTTTGAGTAATGAAGACGTGAACTGAAACACAAACATGTGCAGATGCAGCATTTCTGTGTGAACATGGACAAACCAATGTCTGTCATGGTAACTAAACCAGCTAAACTGAAAGCTTTATCTCTACATTTCCAGTGTCAGGGCTAGTGATTTCCATGTAACTTCCCACCAGTCAGTACTACAGCTCTGAGGAAAGCAAACCTTCCATTGAAAATTTTTTTTCTTTTGACCTAGCGCTGTAAAACAGTGTTTGTCTTACTGAAGAAGCAAAGGCTTCAGTATTCAGGCAAAGTATTCAGTATTGTGGATTTCTGAGCAAGAAAATGGATGTTAGATTTCAGCACCTTAGTTCAGAGGAAGCTTTATCTTGTAATTCAGCAATCTGTAATAGGATTTGGTTCACTGTGTCTAACTGAGACACTTGATTACTTTTCTTATTATATAATTAATTTAGACATCCTTACAGTGGGAAAATATCACACAACGGCAATACCCCTCAGAAAAGACTTTTCTTCCCTAAATGAGAATGTTAGGAACAGCCTGGAGGGAAAAGTTAAAAGATTAAAAGCAAAAGATCAGCATGGAGGCTTCTTAATGAATCACTCATTAGGGTCAGAAAAAGGGAACCAAAGGCAGAGAGGAAAGAAAACAGTATGAGTAACTGGCAAAGTACAAGAGTTTATTCAGACAAAAAAAAAATCTTTTAAAATGGTAATGTAGCTAAGCCCAAGAGAAGTTAGTATGATTGTAACTGTTGGTAGGTATAACACTGAAAGCATAGAGACCCAATTGTGCTTTCAGTTGCACAAAACTCCTCTTAAGGGCAGATCATTATGAGAACTAGAAGAAAATTTGAGAATATATGAGTCAATTGAACTAGTGAGTTTCTAAGGGGTTAGTCAAAGAGAAGGAAAGGTCAGACATAGACACCTTAATCCATGTCAGTGTGAAAGGTATTATCACCCATGGAAAAACAAGTTACTATGATCCTTAGTGCTTTGTCTGGAAGGCGGCACACTTAATAGAATGATCCCAAAATAGATGTTCTGCCAAATTTGTACAGCTTGTTTCCTGTTTTTTCCCCCAAGTTAAAATTTATTGCTCTATTTTGAAAATAAAATTAATCGGTGAACTGTCTTTGCTGTCCTGAGATGTTCCTTGTGGGTACTGAGGACCAGCCAGAGGTAGCAAAACAAAGGCAGCTGTTACAGCTGGAGTGAGCTAATCTATGATACTGTGAATCAGTGCATCCTCAAGCAGGTGCAGTCTCAGTTCTCAAGCAAATAAAAGTGCACAGAAGCTCAGAAGGGGTAGTGCTGTTCCTTCCCAGATATGCTAAATGAGCTTCACTTTAGTGCTAGGAAAAATACTGTGCAATTCCTTGGATGTGTGGCAGTCCTTTACTGACATGGCATTTCTATTTTGATGTTATGTTTAAGAACATGGAACAGCATCATAAAATGTACTTGAAGGTAAAATGATTTTGAACCCTTTTACTTTGAAGTACTTTTTAGGAAGACCATGTGAAATGAAATATTTTTACTTGATTTGAGAAAGACTGTAATTGTCTAATTATGGCAAGCTGCTAATAATTAAAAAAAAAGAGAAAAACAATAAAGACAGCACAACTAGAGTCCCAGTTTGACAACACGTGTTGATTCTTGCCCCATGCCTTCTATTTCTGACTGTTGTACATCAAGTAGAGAGTCTGAGGATGGAGAAAACAAACTCTGAGCAACTCCAGTGGTAGGTCAGAGTCCCTTGTCAGGGGAAGGAAGTAAAATAGTATAAACATTTAGGCTTGGACAACAAGAATGAGTGGAGAAAGGAGAAAAGATGAAAACCAATAGGACTTTAAAAAAAGATGAAAAGGCAATACACATCTTATAAACGTAGACTGGGAAGGGCATGAATGGTTTCTCAATAAACTAGCTCAGGCTGCATCTTTGTACATCATGTGCTGCCTGCTTCAAGGAAAGGCTCTGGCCAGGCTGTGCTGATGCTAAAGTAGAGTTAAAAAGAGGCCAGCTGCCAATAGAACATTTTTTAAAGAAGTCAACTTGTGCATTTTTCTCCTTGCGTAAGCCCCCCATCATGAAAGTACAGCTGTTCAGTGGTTTTCTGGAATGTTTTACTTATTTGTATGTCCCTCTCAGTTAGAAATGCTCAGGCACAGCACTCCTCTTCAGTGTCTCCTCTCTGTTTTCTGAAAACTGTGTGGATTCAGGAATCAATCCACTGACTTTTGATTTCTATTTCTGTTCCTACACTTCATCTACTGATTATTGGATTCTACTAGCCAAGGATCTATCAGTAACTCCCAAAATGGAATGACCTAGAAGTAAAGAAAGGAATAGGTGAATTAGCTGAAATTAGGAGTTTAGTTAAATCATTCTTTGTTCTGGCTGTAACCCTAATTATAGCTTTCACCTCAAGCAGTGAAATACTGTCTAAATATTGACCTTGCCCAGATTCAGTACTAGTTTCTTTAGATATTGCCAGTTACCTTTCGCTGTAGCCTGCTTTTTGTCTTGTCTTCAATCATGCCACTTACTGCTGCATTGCCAATCTGATCCCACTTTCCTGCTGTGAGGCCGTCTTCGGTTATTACCTGTTTTCTGTGCCTGCAGGAGAAATGCTACTCAGCTACAATAAAAGGAGATAAACACCACAAATAGTAACCAAGCATTCTAGCTAGCCTTGTTATATAGTGAATACCTGGACAGTTTTGCTATCAAACAAAACACAAATGGAATGAAAATTGTAAAAGACACCTGACTAAAGGCCAAAATGTGTAGTTCTTTCACATGATGGTGCAGCAGAGAATACTAACAGCATGTCATTTGGCACATGATATTTTCCTATCCTTTTTAGCAATTCACTTGAAAGCTCAAAGTAATTTTAGTATAATCCATCATTTATCTGAAGATAAGACCAAAAATTATTAGACCAGCAATTTTATTTCATATGTGCTTTGTCTCAATCACAGCTGTTAGGACTTACAGTCAAGATAACCTCTCTGCATTTGTTTGTTCCAGCTGGGGTAAAAAAATGTTAAGAATGAGTATCATAAATTGTTTGTCAAATTGTTAAATTCCCCAAAATGTTCCAAAGTGACAAAGATTCTTCTAGGGTACATCTGTCAATTTTAGTGTTTTTTTGTTTTCTTTTGTTGGCGAAGGATACATTTTAGAAAATGGTACAGAACATGGAATGAGTGTTCTGAGTAGAATGACTATCTGTTAGTAAAAATGATCCTAAGAGACAGATTTGTTGATGGAAAGGGAATGGAAAAAAATACTGTCATTAGCAAAAGATTACTGGCTTTCTCTTCACTGCAAGGGTGTTTGGGATCAGAAGGAAGAGACAGAAAATGATACTGTGATTAGTAACTTTCTTACATACAGCCACAATTACACTGAAATAGTTCTGCTGGAGCCTTTCTGTTCTTCAGGCTGCAGGATTTCAGCTTCATGAATGAGCTCTATGCATCTTGAAACTCAAAGTGTACATTAGGTTGCCACCTACTCAAACTCTCCAATGCATTTGAACTCACCTTGTAGTTACATGCAAAAATTTTAACTTTTATGCAAAGTTAATTCAATGTAAGTAGGTGAGGTTCAATGCTCAACAGTAGCAACCTCTTTATTCCTGTTGGTGTTATGGAAACTAACCCTACAATAGTGAAAAGAATGATGTAATTTTTTCCTCCATTTTCCTCTCTCTTCAAAAGTGATCCATATTTTTTTATCCTGTTTTCAAAATACCATGAGATTTCTAAAAATGTTTCTTTGTAAAATTCTGCCATTTTACCTTCTCAAACCTGATCCTAAAATGCAGAGGCTGACTTAAAAACACCATAATCACCTTTAGGATTAACTGTACAAAAATGTGAACTGCCATCCAAGAATACTGAAAAATTCCTATTTGATTTTTGAGATGAACACATTATCTGTGTCATTGCATTTCTGATGGAATTGTTGTACAGCTGAGAGCAGGAGGAACAAACAGCAGCAGTGAACTAGGTAAGGCTTGAAAACTGAGCCAAGATTACCCAAAGGCTAGAGATTTAGCTAAACATACAATAGAGCCTACAAGACAAGCAGCTGCTATGGGCCTGTAGTGGCCAGGCTATACCTTCACCCAACCCTCCCAGCTGTGAGCTCCTAATCTCACCATGCTCTGAAAAGATTCTAAGTTTATGCTTCTCCTTCTGGAGAGAGATGATGGTTGCTGCGCTGCCTGCATTACTATCCAAAATAGGTGAGGGAAATATTTTGCTTTGCTGTTTACCACCCTTCCTGACCTGGCCATTTGTCCTCCTGTTTTCATGCATCCAATATAAAGCCCAAGCAGATCTACTTGTAGGCCAATGAATCTTGATAACCGATCTCCCCAGCTCAGCTCTAGATACAACATATCCAAATTCAATTTTAGTTGATCTTTCCTCTTACTGAGGTAGTCTCCTAGAAGAAAACCATTAAATTCAGTTTAAAAAATGTACAAGATTAATCCTGTAATGTAAGTCAGATGTAGTATTTGATTAAATTAATCCATAAATATCCATGTTCTGAATCTACATCAAGATGAATATGACCTTTTATGAAGTCACCAAAGTACAATAGGATACTTGAGATGCAGAGAACATGCCAACCACTCAAACAATTGTATGCTTCTTGGAGTGTGATTAAGACCCCTACAATTTGGTGAGCAATAGCCAAGGGTGAGCTTATGAATACTACTGGCAACATTAATAACTTCTGGAATGCAAGAAGTTCCAGAGAAAAAAGAGAGGTAGTGTGCAAATAGGAGTAATTTGTGACTGCTTAAAATGGTTTAAATGAATACTATGCCTTTGCATAAACAAGATTTTAATTAGGACATCGTTATGAGGGATTGTAATTTATGTAATTTTAAATTGCCATATTAATTAATGTGCTCAACAATGGGCAGTGCCAGAGAAAAGAACTACCTATATAACAAACATGGAGGATAAAATTACCACAGAGGAGAAAATTTAGGAGTAGAAAAATGCAGTAAGTGCCCATTATCCCAAATAGAACTATTTTAAATGAGCATTAACTCTAACACATTGCCATGTTGGTCCATACATTTCTAGAAAGTGTAAATAAATCACCATGTTTACATTCTGCATCTGCCTCTGTTTTTATAGTATGACAAAGAGTGAAATTAAATATATTTTCCAAAACATAATACAATTAAATATAACATTATTCAGGATATACAAATACCATCATTCATCTTGTTCCAAGAGGACTGTAAAAAGCAAGTTGTTGAGCTGTGATATCTGAAAGGTAAAGGCAGCACTCTCCTCACTTCTGCAGTGCTGTGGGTACTGACACTTCAGGCTGGTATTTGCTGCCTTTTAAACCAGTACCTTCTAGCTGCAGTTTGCACATGCTGTCCACCCAAGAAAATACTGTTTCAAAGCAGGAAGGCAGGACACCTTACAACACAGAAAATGAGCACACTTCTGCTCTCCCCCAGTGCGAAATTTCTCTGTTTTCATCTATTACTATGACAAAAGTAAGAGTAAAAATAAAACCAGCTATAATCAAATTTAATGATAAATGTCAGTTCTCTTAATTGTACAGGGCCACTTTGCTTTCTCAGTTCAACAATGAATTAGGAAGCACACAATAATCACAACTGATTTTTCTCTGCTATGTAGTTCAAGTTGTAGAGTGGAAAAGTGTGCAGAAATACCATGTTCCTGCTGAAAAGGCATATATTTTAAATTCTTAATACATGAGCAAAAGCTGAATTTGTAGGCACTTAATATTTTTGAAAGATTCTGTAATTTAAAAGATTATGGTGGCAACAAGCAAAATGGTCTGCCATAGTCAGGACTATGAAACATTTGTCTGACACCAAAACAGACCTGAAAAAGCCTTTCTACATCATCATGGTAATTACCCGCTTCAGGCCATACTTAATCCTCCTATTCTGATGAAACTCTAATCATGTTAGTGCTGAGGGTTCATGGAAGTGACAAGAGAAGAGGCTTCCCTATACAAAAAAATCCCCCTTTATACATTCATCCTGTGATTTTACTGAGCCAATTTACTACCTTGTCCCATGCTATGCAGCACAACACAATCTAAATGAGTGCTGCTACTTTTGGAAGTGATGGAAATTTACAGTGAACTGCAGCGTGCTCTGGGCAGAATCCTGCTGTCCCTTATTGCCATACAGCTCCTTAATTCTAGGGATTTTCCAGAAATAGGTGTAAATGAATACTGCAATTTTACTGCTTGTACACATCATGACCTGACTTACTTACTGATACACCAGCTGAATTAGAAAAATATAGAGCTTGTATTTGTAAGTAACTGGTAACATAAAGTGTTTTGATGCATGGAGAGGAGAAGAACAGTAAATATATTACAGGATTATATATGCCTTCATCTGAACTTGTTGAAAGACTCTAGTCTGGTGTGGGTCCAGGAGAAGTTTAGAAATTGTCGGGGAAAAAAAAAGAAAAAAAGGCAGGGAGGCATTTTAACTTTACTAACTAAAGTTAATCTCTGGTTGTAGATCACTCCAATTCTTGCTCTGTAGAAAAAGGATAGATCTGGTTATGCAGAGTGTATGCTACGAAATTCTGATTAAACCAAATTTTGAGAACTGGTGAAGTTGCATTGCCTTCCAGACTGAGGAACTGTTTGCATAGCTCAGAAATCAAGAGCATCACTTGTGGTGTTTGATTAACTTCTATCGTGAGTTTAGCACAGCAATAAAAATTTAATTGCTCATCTGATCCTTAGCAGAGGTGACAGGGCTACGTCTTGCAGGATGTTGGGATGAGCCTTGATGGTGCGGTGGAGTTACTGCTCCGAGGCTGTCTCCTGCCAAAGGGCGCCCTTGCTTTCTCTTCAAACTGTTGACAAGACTCGAGAGCTCACACGCGGCAGGGTTTGGAGTTTGTGGGGCACTTAGTCCTCTCTAAAATAATTATGTGGAGCGGGTTTAGGGAGCGGGCCACGCAGGGCAAGCCAGAGCACGGGGGATTAAGTGCCTCCGCTTCGTCCGGGACGGAGCCTTCCCGTGCCAACTCCGTCTAAGCCAAGCATAAATTCCGCATGAGGCTGTGCCGCGCTCGCAAACGCTGTGGCTGCCCCTGGCCGAAGGGGCCCGGCCGGGACGCGCTTACCTGGATCCGGGCGGGGGTGGCTGAGCCCCGGCGGCGCTCGGAGCGCACCGGGTTCGGCTGGGCTGGGCTGGGCTGGGCTTGGCTGGACCGGGCTGGGATGGGATGGGATGGGATGGACCGGGCTGGGCTGCGCTCCGGGGGCGCTCCGTGTCGGCCGCGCTGCTCCTGTCGCTCCGGCGCGGCCCCTCCGTTTATAGCGAGGGGCGTTGCGGCACAGCCCAGCTCGCCCGCTGCCTCTCCCCACCCATCTCCCGGGACGGACCCCGCTGACCCGGCTCCCTCCCACTTCCCCTCCCTCCCCGCCCGTCCCCGCCCGCCGTGGCTGCGGAGCGGGCCGGCAGTGCGGTGTGCCCGCGGGGCCCGGGCGGGACGGGGGAGCCGGCGCTGGGCAGCAGGGCAGAATCAGCACTGGGCAGGAGGGCAGAGCCAGCACTGGGCAGGAGGGCAGAATCAGCACTGGGCAGGAGGGCAGAGCCAGCACTGGGCAGGAGGGCAGAATCAGCACTGGGCAGGAGGGCAGAGCCGGCGCAGGGCAGGCGAGATCGCTGCGGGAAGTGCGGCCGCCAGCGCGGCGCAGGCTGCGGGCATGGGGCGAGGGATGCGCATGAGGGGCCCCTTCCTTGCCTTTGCCTCCAGCTTTCAGGGGGAGGGGTCGCGAGTGATGTACAAACATTCCCAGTTTCTCTAAGACTCCGCCGTGCCGCCAGTGAACAAAACTGAAATGTTCTGATCGTCACTAATGAAGTTAAATGTATAATTGCCATAATAAATCTGGAAAACTTTATTCTCTGGGAGTGGAGGGGAGCAGAAACAGAGGAAACCCCCCTGGAATACATATTCTATAGGAGGACTTTCCATGTCACCGATAATTGTCATTTAAAGAAAGGGTTTTGTATATGAGGAATTTTGCTTATTTGTGTCCCTCTCGTTCTACTAAACAGGACAGGGAACAACTTTTCAGGCAGAATTTGTGACACTGTCATGCTCATCAAGAACAGGATTTCCGAAGTTATGCTTCATTTTAGGGCCATGTCACCATAGTTATGGACAGAGCTAGAGATTCCACTGGGAGCTGAACAGCTGTGGATTGCTTCTTAATATTTTTATACACCTAGTGTGTTTTTGAAGGCCCTCTCTAGAAAGACATGATGGCACTATCCTTCAATGGTTGGCAGTGTAACTTTATTGTGGCTAAGAATAATTACAGTCTATTTAGTCATAGTGGTAGGAGAGGCAAGTCAAGAGGAAACATTTGGATTCTACAGTGATAACAACTAGTTTTTCAGTATCTGCACATGTACAGTCAGTAAGGTCTTGTCTGGCTATAATTTGTTTCTGAAAATCTGTTAGCTAAATCAGAGGTTCACATAGAAATGGAGAGCTGCAACACATTACATGAATTCAGTTGTTCTAGGCCGTGTCTGATGGGCCATGAGTGTGTTACATGGAAGCACTAATTCACCTGTGACATAATCTTTTGCCCTGATCTTATTTATGTTGTGACAAGAAAAATCATCTGCATTTTCATCAGATCAGCAGCCAGGACTGAAGCAAACTATATTGGCAGTACACTGCCTTCCTGCCACTTGGGGAGTTTGTAATTGGCTTCCTCTCTAAAGAGATTTTGCTGAGAGATCTTCTAATCATGTGCATGTTCACAGATTTATCATGGCAGGGACTAGAAACCACTTGCTGTAAGTACTGTTCAGCCCTGTACAACACCTGAAGCTGTCCACAGGAGTGGGCTGTGTTAACTCCATTTATGTTATTGGTTTCATTACATGGAGCTCTCAACATATGGGACATATTTTTTCTATCCAAAACATTCTTTGTACACATATGACTGATTCCCAAACTCTGCTGAATAACAGTTTATTTGGCAGCTATTGGCTGCTTCTACCTCAGTGTGTTCTGTGGTACAACCTGCTGGGTGGAGCTGGTGTGCAGGAGATCTCCATGAGGAGACATTTGCAGGGCTTTCAGTTCTCACAGAGCTGAAGGAGCTGAAACCAAATCCCAATGCCAGTATCAAACGCTGGCTGCTTACAATGACTCTGTATGTGTGAATCACTGCCTAGGATCAGCTGTTCCTTTTATTGCATTCCATCATCTCTTCTCTTCAGGAAAGGATGAAGAAAGTAGATGATAGCTGTATTTTGAAACAGAACAAAATGAAAAAAACCCACAACAACTTCTTTTTCAATTGGATTCTTTCTTAAAAGATGCATGTAAAATTGAATTTGGGTCTGCATCTCTCTGCTGAGTTCAGTCCATCTCTGGGGTATGTAAGAGAGAGATGTAATTTAATGTAATTTTGGGAAAATCTCTTCACTTCCAGCAGTTTTGTGTCTGGAATCCCAATAACAGAAATGTAACATGATGAGCACTGCAACATGCACTCACTATAGAAATGTGATTTAAAGGAACATCCAGTGAATAATAGACTTGATGACTAGAATTCTGTTTTCATTGAGCTGCTGTAAATAAAGAGGCTTCTTCCCACCAGAATTGATCGAGGTGTCTGTAATGTGGAAAGGGTTTCAGGGAGCAGGTTACATTCTATTGCTTGTGTTAGAGCAAAGAGCTGTCATTAAGAAGGTGACTGTACTGGGCAGTTTGATTGCTATGAAATCAAATAAATAGCTCTTCTAGTGGCAATATTTATTAAAATCGCTAGTGGTCTAGTGAGAATAAATAGTTTAAAACAAATTCTTTATTGTGAACTCAAAATTACATTGCCTTTTAAAACCCTTTATATTTTAGTAATATGTTTGGAATGATTCACATCTGAACATTTTGGCTGTAGTTTTTTTACATTTTTAAGGTATTGTTTCTTTTTTGCTGAAACAAGAAGTACAAAGTTATTGTCTTCGTTGAAAGCTGATTCTTCTTACATAGATGCCCATACTTCTGCATGTCAAGAGCCAGGCTTGAGGAAAGCCTCACAGGCTGAGATTCTGGTTCTCTTCATTGTATTATTTTGTGTTCAATTTTAATGCATTTTCCCACTGTTGATTCTTTCAGGAAACAGACTGGACTGTTGCATGTAGAATATATACGTGCATTTGCTTAGAAGAAAATGAGCAATTCAGATGTAGGATTACTGGAAACCTGGATATGTCCTGGTAGCAATCTGATGTGAGTAAAGCTGATGATTTTCCTGAAGATAAGACAACTTACGAAAGTTATTTTTTAAGAACACTTCTTTTCAAAATACTCTCCTGCTGCCGTAAGGAGTACTTCAGTTCTATCCTGTTTGTATATCCCTAAACATTTTCTTAGAAAAAGGACCTAGAATTGATTCCAGGCCAATGCATCTGTGATTTAGAAGTTTTTATCTACTTTTGTCTATGATGAACTTTGTTTTCAGAGTGTGTTCCCTTCTATCAGGTCTACTAAAAATGAAAGTTACTAGGAAATATTAAAGAAATGAAATTTTGGAAAAAAGATACATTGTAATTCTCACTGTCTCTCTCTAGAACCCAAACCTTTTCAGCTGCAGGAAAAATGTTAGCTTCTGCTGTAGGAATAGGAATGTATATTAAGGTTGTTATCCACTCTGGTCTCACAGACCAGAACATTCTGCTTGGTCCAGCAGAGTAATCTGTGTTTGTGTGTGTGAGAGGAGAAGAGAGCAGGAGAGGGTGAAATGTTCTTTGAGGCAAGTGAGAGAGGTCATTTGCAGACTTTTGAGCAGTGGTGGTGCTGATATCCACAAGGTCTGCCTCTCCAGAGTGATGGAAATTTACATTATTATTTTTTTCTGATGAGCTTTGTGAACAATTAGGATATTTAATCTCTTTCCAGGAAGCTATATGCTTTAACTTCTAGTCTTCTTTATCTGGTATGCTTTAATTGTATCCCTCATAATCATCATAGCATACAGCAAAAGGGGAGGCTGGAAAATATGAAGATTCTAAGGAACTCAATGTTTAAAATCTCAGCATTTCCATAACACTTTAAAGTTTAACTGGTTTGATTTTGATAGATAAAAAGTAGATTTTTTTGTTTGGGTTATACTGTGTAAGAAGCTGAACTGAATGAGAAGTGTGTGGCATCATTTTCTTCATTTACTCTTCCTTTGAGTAAATCCAGCTCAGTTGAAGCAACCTTTATGTAAAAAATATGTTCAGGGTAGAAGGGAGTTAAAATTTGAAAGGAGTATTTTAAATACTGAAATAGGGAAATCTAAGTTATGAAATTTGTGACTGTTTTTTATGTGGTCCTTTTTTTCTGCAGCAGAAAAGGATAGTTTAGACACTTCCTCTTGTCATGTTAATGATGTAAGGCTCTTGTAGGTCAGAAGAACTATCCCATTTAATTTTCAACTGATGATAAAATTATCAGTTTCTGGTAATGGGTGTGGACTAATGTGTAATTAGTAGTTTTTTGGAACGTCTTTTCTCAAAACAATAAGCAAGATTTTCCACTGCGATAAATTTAAATACAGTATGTATTCATAAACCCACATTTATATACTTTGGAACAAGAAGGGAAACAGAAATTGGTGTTTGAGCTGGCCTCTATTTCTTGTTGACTCTAATCATTGTGATTAAAATTTGATGCAGAGTGTATAGCACTATCAGTGATAATTACTATGTGAAAAACTCTCTTCTCCAGCCTAACCGTGGAAAGAGATTTAGAGATCGTGTTTTTAGTTCTGGAATTCTGTAAATTTACCAAGAATTACAGCTAGAAGACCCTCCTGACACTATTTACTGTGTTCTTTGAGCTAAACAGAAGCAGAAGTAAATGGGTTTTTCTGTCTCTGCAGATTATTTGGAGATAACACTATTTTCTAGTTAGCAGAGAGTTTTGCTGTTTCTGAAAAAGAAATGTAACCAACAAGAGAGTAAAAGATGGTGTTTTTGACACAGAGCACTGAGAAGCATCTTTTGGTTCTCTGCACAAAACCATAATTTATACCCCTTCTCATCAGAGCGGTTCAGAGTGGGGATGATAATTATTGGAGCTATGGCTGAACCCAGTGGTTCCAGGCACATATTGCTCATCAACCTAGCCCTGTCCAATTCCTGTGGGATGAACAGACAGTGCAGAAGTATTTTCATCACCTTACAGGAGAATTAGGCTGTTTAATCATGCAGTAACTTGATGGTGGTCCTCAGAATGCTCATGG